ACTTGATTAGATTTCACATCATTCATCCACATCTGTAAAGTAACTAAAGGGATTAAATAAATACAGTGGAGTAACATTTACCTCTGAATTGTAGTGGTGTAGAAGTACAAACTAGCAGAACATTTAAATACTCAAGTAAAGTACAAGCCCCTTAAAATTGTACTTAAGTACAGTACTTGAGTAAATGTACTTTACTTTACACCACTGCCCTTATCAAATTGTAAAGCTGCTTCATGTGAAAAGATAAAACACACACACACACACCTTGACCAGGTAGCCTCCATCCTTCTCCAGCACAGCGATGAGGGTACTGAGGTTGAGCTCGTCGTCTCTCCGTGACGGAGAGCCGGGGGGCTCGTCGTCGTCGTCAGGGAAACGCACCCCACCGGCCTTCGAGATGGATCCTGGTGACGAAGAGGTGGATATGATTATAATGAATAGAGAAATACAACAAGGTGTTCAAAAAAGCTAAATCATGAAGGTTTTATACATGTAGAGCAGGAAGTGAAATAAACTCAACAACACAAATTCTCAAGGGATTGCAAATAGAAACAGGAATAATGATGTCTCATGTAAATGTTTATTTGTCATGACTGTCAGTATGAAGGCACGGGTCAAACTTACCTTTTCTTCCTGATGCCATGGTAACCTGGTTAGGAAATGGGAAGTGTTGTCATCACTGTCCTCCCCACTAACAGACACACAGAGACAGGGTCATGCTTTCAGGAAGTGTGGAAACAAATGACAGCAGAGTGACACCAATACAGTTATTATTCCTATTGATTCCATAAAAAGTTGAAATATTTCAAGTAACTATTATGAATAGATTATCTTAGATGTTGAGGACCTTTAGTCAGCATATGCGATGAAATGTAATCAAAGCCTACATTCTTTATCCAGATTTATTTTTCATATCTATGCAAAAGTAATGGCATGTGGGTCCTTCCAGAATGTTCCAATAACCCATGTCCAAAAAGCTAAAACATGCATTTGTTGTGTTAAATAATATAATTGGCCTTTGATCAAATGTAAATACATTTGTAGGAAAAGTGGTTTCAAATGATTGAATATATCAAAAACTAGCATTGTATTCTGCACAAGAGGTAAACACTAACGTTAGCATTGATTTGCAGAGTTGCATTTTCTGCAGTTTCATTTATTATCTTTAGTATAATTAAATGTTTATATATATAATTTACTGTAATCCCAGAACAGGAATTGCCTTTTTGTATTGGCACCTGGGAGCCTAAGCATGTTATGGTTGCAACCATTAACCCTTTTCCTTAACAATAACTCAAAATGAACACAAATGTGTTTTATATGTATAGTTAGATTAAATAGTTCATTTTTTTTTCTCAAATACATAATACAAATATGGGTAAAGGGTTCATTTTTTAAAAGTTATGTTCAATTGTCTTCCAACTGTGGAATGACCCATGTGCATGTATTCTCCGCCAAACAGAGCCAAACATCCTCACATAAAAACAGTGGCTTTTGGAACACTGTAATGAAAATGAGCATTTGTTCATTCTAAAGTCCAAACAGGGTGGACAGTAAAGCACAGAGGATTTGTTGTTACTGCAGTAAAAGACAGAAGGCACCTCCCTGCTCCAAGGGTCCAAACACAGAGACCCTCCCATCCCCTCAGCATCCCGACCACAGGCCGGGATACATACACAGGTACGTACCGTTAGTGCCGCCGGTGGAGCCTCTCTACACCAGGGACAGCAGCGAGGACATGTCGCTTCTCTTCTCACAGTGTGACACAGCCATGCGTTTTACTGGTATTCCCTGTGAGTCTCTGTCCCGCCCGTCCCAGGTGTCCCGCGAGTGATCAGCAGCTAAAATGGCTCTGCCGTGGCCCGTGATGCTTCATGCGCGAGAGCGTGTCCTCCTCAGCGGACACGCGCCTGGCGTTTGCGCCGTGTGGCCAGCAGCTAGCAGCTAAAGTCTGTAGTAATACTAGCTACACAAACGCTACATCAGAGCTACACCCTAACTACACGGGCTATTTATTATTCAATTGCATTCTAAAGCAGACAGAGGTCAGAGGGTGGCGCCAAAAACAGAGCCGACACCATATGTGACTGCTGCCATAGACTGCTCAGAGCAGGCTGTCGGCACTTGGCTTGGTAACAACAAGGTCGCTGGTTCAAGTCCCCGATTGGACCAAGTGGTGTGGACTAGAACATTGAGAAGTACCTCCTGAGGCTCAGGGTGCTCTTAAGCAAGGCACTGCACCATAGACTGTATGTACTGACTCTTGCACTTTGTTTGAAAGCTGCCCAAACTTAGAGCTCCTGCCTTTACATGTGGTCTTATACAGTATATGTGATTTAATATTGCATTTCCGGCCAATAAAGAATTATGATAGGAAGATTGATACTTTTTAATGTATATTGATATTGTTTAGGAATAAAAGCCTCTACTCCATTCCACTGTACACACCAAACAGAAACCTCTGTATTATATACTTTCAGTTAAAACTACATTTTTTTATCTTACAATACAGAGCTGTGTAAAATATTATTTGTTGACATGGTAAACATATCCAGAGGGGTATGCTGGCAATTGTTTTCATATGGATTAATGTTATAGCAGTGACAAACATTTTATTTTGTTCGATGACATGTACAGGCGACAGTCTGTAAGGACTTTACTTTGGAACAGGATGGTCGCTGGTTCAATTCCCCAATTGGACAAAGTGGTGTGGACTGGAGCTTTGAGAGCTTTGCCCACTAGGCTACTCCTAATACTAGGATTGCAATTACAACTAATTCGGATTTCACTTTTAAGGACGTTCTTTGTCATTTTAAAAGCAAAATTCATGGTTTTGTTGGCCATATATTTGTGTATTTGTACCATCTGTGTATAAAAAAGTGTGGAAACGGAATTTCAGTAAAGGTTAATATATACGTAATGAGTGAGCAGATCCACTTATTTAATCTAAAAAAGACAACTGGTAATACAGTGATGAATAATAAAAGAGTGTTATTAGACTTGCATTAACATACTTTCATCAGTTAGGAACTTAGGTTTATAATTTCTTAAATTATTTAACATATTTTGACACACACACACACACACAGTGTGAGAAATTATCTGTACAATAATTATGCATACCTGCTTCACATGTAATCAAAAAAACATGTACACACAGATACATGGGGGGAAATGGGGGAGTAGTGTTCCAGTCAAAGTATGAAAGGTTTGTGTGGTTTGTTGGCTCAGAAGTACGCACACACATTTATAAAACATCAGTAGCACATAGGAAAGCACCATTTAGTGAAAGTCTGGTGTCTCACTGCAAAGTGTACCAAACTCAAGTGCAAAAATACACAATTTACTTGACATTATTATTAATTATTATTATTATTATCACTTAGGTCCCCAAAAACAGGTAAACACACACACCTTCTATAAAAATGTAGGAAGTAAATCCTAGAAAAGTCCCCTATAGCTGCTATAGAGTCAGAATGAAGAGCAGAGCAGCACGGTGTGTGTGCAGCCACACTGAGCTGGGCTCCACACTGCAGTGTGATCAGCACAGAGGCTGCCATGCAGAACAACATTATTTTGTATTTCTCTTAAAGGAGACATGTCATGCTTTTCCGGTTCTTGGGGAAGTTCATGAGATCTTTCTAGAGGGTTATCAAGAATAACTTTTATCCAATGACCTTTTCCCTCTCTGTCTGTGTCTGTGTATTCTCTTGTTCCGATTAACCCAGCCAAATCTTTTTTCTTGTTTTGTATCTATATCTACGCCGGGATCCGGAGTCGAGGCTGATCCTCTTGCTGTAGTCCTGTGTCTTGGATCCTCTATCCTGAGTTCTGGATTAAGTCGTGGACTTCGGGTCGTGGCTAAACCTGTCTCTGTTGCTCTCCCTGAGGTTTCTCCCATGTTTCCCCTTAAACTGTGGGTTTTCTCTGGAAGTTTTTCCTTGTACGATGTGAGGGTCTAAGGACAGAGGGTGTCGTTTTTCTCATTCTGAACAATCTGTGCTGTTGTATTTGCTGTAAAGTGTCTCTACTGTAGGCTATTTTTATTATATGTACAGCACTTTGGCTCGACCGAAAATCGTTTATAAATGTGCTATATAAATAAAACTTGATTTGATTTTGATTTGATTCTTACCCGTCCCCTTGTGTGTTATGAAGGTTTTTCTGCATGTAAAGGTCTGCAGAGTCACAAACCCTCAAAGTACACCATGTAGGGAGTAAAACTCTAACACAGAAAAGATCTGTCTATGCTGCCCCAGAACGCCTCGTTGGACATTTATCTTTTTCCATTGTTTGCTTCCTGGGTATAGCTACGTAGGGATACCCAGTAGCCACGCCCAGAGCTATGACCAGGCTGATTGGTCCAAATTAACCTACACACACCACACACCACACACACACACACACACACACACACACACACACACACACACACACACACACCACACACACACACACACACACACACACACACACACACACACACACACACACACACACACACACACACAACACACACACCACCACACACACACACACACACACACACACACACACACACACACACACACACACACAACACACACACACCACACCACACACACAACACACACACACAACACACACACACACACACACACACACACACCACACACACACACACAACCACACACACAACACACAACACACACACACACACACACACACTTCTCCTCCTCCTCCCTGGCTGCAGGCTGATAACAGACAGTTGGGATCGCGGCGAAATTCTCTCTGCAGACCCATTCTCACAGCGTTTATCAACCTTTTTCTTACTCAATATCAAGCCACACTTATTGTTTTTACTTCGGCTGTGACTTTGTGTGTGCTCAGGGTGAGTTTGGCTGTGTTTCGCTTTCGCTAAACAAGGAAACCACACCTCCACGGAGCTCAGCGCGATTCACAACGTCCCGACCAATGAGAGCACACTGTGCTCACAGGGAGGGTGGGGGCTGGAGCTATTGGAGCTACAACGAGCCGTTAAAGGCAGAGAGTGAAATTCAGTGAATACACGTAGTTTACAGAGATGCTGTGAGAAACCAATGTGAGTTTGGAAAATTGCACAATATAAATCTATTCTAGTAGACCTCAACAATGGAATTATGATCAGTGGAAATGGCCATGACATGTCTCCTTTTTAAACTTCCTCCATAAATGGACGGACAATGATTTACCAAAAGGGGTAAGGGTTAACATGATGTTGTAGTTTTGGCCATATATCTATACTTATTAAAGTAATTGTGGAGAAGTGTGAACAGGGTGACATCACTATAGTACAATGAAACGAAGCCAGCGTCCATTAGTAATTTAACTGTCCTTCAAATAAGTAGGACTATTCTTTCTTAATGTCACATGTTCACAGATCTCTGTGATCACTCTGAATACAGATGATAACCACAACTACCAAAATAAGAGCAAGTTTCAATAAACCATAGTGCAGGTCAAATGAGCCCCCCCCTCTCAGCAGGCCCTGTTGTTAGCACAGCACTAACAACAGGTCAGAGGCTCAGTGTGAGCGTAGCAGCATCTAGTGTGTGTCGCTAACATGTACTGTCAATGCACTGAGAGTTATGTCTGGGCCTCGGGCAGGGAGCGGCTGGGCTCACATGGGACTGGTGCCCCCCCCCCTGTCAGTCCATTGGTGCTGCGACACAGCAGAGCTTTGGTTGCCGTGGCGGCTGTTGTCGACGAGGACACACTGACCCCGGTTATGGTACCATTGAGGTTCCGGTAGGGTTGCTGCCGTGGTAACGAAGTCCTTCGGCGGGGGATGGGCACCGCGGCTGTTCCACGGAGGCACACTGAGGGAAAAGTCAGACCCACCAGACAGCATCCTGGACAGGAAATGACCTCATCCGGCTCAGAGGGGCCGCCGGGGTCCGAGGACTGATTGGGCGCTGTGCTGTAACTGTTAGCCCGCCCCCCTCTCCCCCACTGCACCTGCTGACCTATCACGAGGGCGGAGCCGTTGTTGTTGTCCAGTTGCAGCAGAGCAGGCAGGGGGGGTTGGCCGTAGGAGATGGGACGCGGCCAGCCGTTGGTCTGTGTGGAGTCTGCGGACTCAGGAGACTTGGTACAGTCCATGGGTTCGGTCAGACATCGCCTCTCCTCCTCTTCCTCCTCTTCCTCCTCTTCTTCCTCTTCTTCCTCCTCCTCCAGCCGCTCCAGAGACATCATCTCCAGCTCCACAGACAGACCTACATCCTCCTGAAGCAGCTCTCTCCTCTCACCTATCTCTGTCTGCTCCACCTGTAACCTCACACCGGTCTCCCTCCTGTCACCCTCCACCCTGACGTCCTGTTCCTCTTCCTCCTCCTTCCACCCAGTATGTCTCGGTGAGGCTACAGTCCGGCTTAGCTCAGGAGTGCAGGGCAGGGACCGGCATCTCCGGGGCAGCGCTCTGAGGAGGTGGGGGGAGGAGCAGGGGTCCCGCAGGGCAGGTAGGGTGAAGGTCAGCGAGATAACCGACTTGCTGGGAGTATCCAAGAGTTTACAGCGCCCCCCATTCAGGTCCTGCCTGAGGGAGAAGGGGTTGACCCGTGCAGGGGTCCCGAGGAGAGGAGAGCTCTGAGTCGCCGGGGGTAACACGTCCGACTGGCTCCTTGCCAAGCCCTGCCGTCGCTGGCTGCGGTTGCCTGGGTGAGAAGGGGAGCTGTGGCGCCGGTAAGGGCTGGCGTCTGCTGACAGTGACTCTGAGGGGGGGGGGGGGGGGGGGGGGTGACAGAGCGAGAAATTAAGAACAGGTGGTACTACTTTTAAAACAACTACAACAACAGAAAAGTGCAAAACTGAAATGAACCAAAATATCAAGAATGCTGTCATGCTGTTTGCTTTTATATTCTCATACCACTTGTATTCATACACAGAATGCTTTTAATTTGCTGTTAATGAGGTCCAGAGAAGCTGTCTTGGTAAATGTTTACGATTCTCGGTTCTAGGAGTTATTTTGACCGATAACAGAAAGCAGATTTAGGGGAGAACTCCCAGGATTCAACAAACGTCTGATGATATTCAGCCTTTATAAGCTAACTCTTGTGAGTTAAAGCCTCTCTATACCGAGTTCAGAGCACACCAATGACTGCGTGATGATCTCCATGCAGGCAGGGTACTACTTCACGATATGTAAACATTGCAGATCTAAACATCCTACAGTTTACAGAACAGAACAATGTTTGTAAAACAAGCTCCACTTCACAATTTGAGCTCATACTGTATCACTAGGGCTCCTGCTTGATAATCTGATTTTGAGAGTCTTTGTAACAAATATCAAATCAAACTTCATTTATATAGCACTTTTCTTAAACAAAGTGTTTCACAAACCAAACATATAGACAATTTACAAACAATGTAAACAATACTTTCTTCCCAGGTAACACATACTGTAGATTTGTGATTTAAGAGAACACTAAATACCAACGCACGACTAAATAAAATAAAAGAAGGATAATAATAATAATAATAAATAAAGGATAAAATAAGAATAAATTACAATCCAGTTAGCCAAATCAGATCACTCTTAAGCCCCTTACACACCGAGCTGATTATCGCCGTCGATAGATGTCGGGCCGTCGATGAGCGTCGTGTCGCTCAGATTGGTGTGTACTGCACCGTTGTGTCTTTTCGGCCGTGCCGACACCTTCTGCCGCCGATTCGACATGTGGAATCAGGAGGCCGTCGGCCAAAGAAATCACTCTGATTGGCTGTTCAGCTAGCGAATCAGTGCATGAGAAGCGAAACGGAAGTGAAGGACCCAAACAAACTATTAAGAAGGCAAATCTGAGATTTCATGTAACTCCAGCTCTCGACAGGTTCTGGAAAGCCGTAGAGTGAAAATGGAACACGCTATTTGTTGTTTGTTTATATCACGCAGTCTGTTCTTCTTCTCTCGGTTATCACGCAGTCTGTCTTCCGGTTGTTGCCTCTTTTGAATGACGAATACACACTACCGCCGCCTGCTGGTAAGGAGAGTTATTGCCATTCACGCATGCGCAGTGCGTACGTGCTGCTTGGCCGTCGGCTGAAGTCTTTGCGGTGTGTTCCAGTGCGACACATGGCCAAGACGCAGAGACGTGAGGCGACGTTCCGTCGGGACGTGTTCTTTGGTGTCAGTTTGTTGTGTAAGAGGCATTAGAAAGCTGTTTTAACCATACGAACAGTTGTGTAAAAATACGTAACACACATTGAAAGGAGACATTTAAAAGAAAAAACAGTTTGGGGGGTTTACCGAGTGCAAGGGGATTCTCCTTCTCCTCCTCCCTCTCCATGCCCTCCAGTGTGAACACAATGTGAGAGAACGAGGGACGCTGCTGTGCACTCATCTGAAAACAACCACACAAAGACACACTTAGATTACACACACACACACAGCCTCCATTACCTTGCAGTGTGTGTGTGTGTGTGTGTGTGTGTGTGTGTGTGTGTGTGTGTGTGTGTGTGTGTGTGTGTGTGTGTGTGTGTGGTGTGTGTGTGTGTGTGTGTGTGTGTGTGTGTGTGTGTGTACTTACATTACAGCAGGTGACAGCAAGGCTGAAGAACGCAGCTGGACAATCCCCAACCAGGTTCTCAAATGCATCCACGTCCAGACCAAAGTCCTAAAACACAGACAGTGTCATACACTGATTCCTCAACAACTTGTTGCCAATATGAAATGAACTCACTGAAAACTGTATGGAGTATGCACCACCAAACACGGGTTATGTATGACAGTATCATCCTAGCATTTATGTTGTTGCTGTTGCTTTAATGCAGTAGCATTAAACTGGCATTGGAAATACAGGAAAACTGCCTATACAGCTCCTCTCACTGCACACTGAAGTATCCTTTATCTGGATAAACACAGTTTCAATAGTATTTACATCAGAATGATTATCTATACCACATAAAAGGAGCACCATGTTTGTGTGTGTGACGAAGATACATGACAGGTACCTCTGTCCTGGGTAAGAAGTCTGGATCAGCTTCGATGCGGGCGATGATCTCACACAGGATGATGCCGTACGCAAACACATCCACCTGAGCACAGCACAGTAAGGTAGGTCAGGGCTCAAACTACATTTCACACAGTGCTGGGAGAGTGGAGGATTGATACCAATATGAACAGTTTGGTGCTTAGAGCTTCCGGTAGTGCTAATACTCTGAAAAGTTGATGAGAGAAGTTGAATTGTTTTTACTTTCAGCCTAGTTTTGTTTTAGTTATGCCCAGTTAAGGCCCAACTATTGTTGAGATAAATGTCAAGGCATTAAACATTTCTGAAACATACAGTATACGTATCCCACTATCTTATTGCAACCCCGCCGGACCTTAGTCATTTTAAAAATCTGTGTCGGCCCCCATCTACAGATACTTACAAAGGGCCTAACATCCTGGACACTCTGAACGTATTATACAAGTAGCACATTTGTGGTAGTCAGTAATATCTTAATTAGCTAACTTAAGCCCCCAAAGGTTTTTAAAGGACTAATATGACCAAGGGTGTGTATTATGACTTAAAATTGCTCTGAATCTGCAATGTACTCCAGCGGGGGGGTGTGCGTGTGTGTGTTTTGGGTTTACCTTCTCATCGTACAGCTCTCCTCTCAGAACTTCAGGTGCCATCCAGTAGGGGGAGCCCACGATGGCCAGAGGCTGCTTCCCCCCTCCATCACTGCAGAGACAGCATGTTTCCTCAACCTCTGCTCAACAGCTGCATGTCGGGCTGTGACCCATTCAGAACACTTTCTATGTTCTAATCTAGATGCACTATTTGATATACCAGTGTAACATGTCTGAGCTGAGAGGTCACGTATCCACACTGTGGTCCTCTTCAATTCGTTATTGTTGTAGTGGGTTATATTATATAAGATATTTGACCTTATTATGACAACGTTTTTCCCTCGCCAAAATCAGACTATTATTTAGGCATTTCCTAACAAGCTAAGCTAGATTCAAAGAACTATTGCTTTAAATCAGAGCCTACTTCAGTCTGTCTAGGCTGGTGGCTTTTCAGGAAGTTAAAAGGCTTTTCTAAAGAAAAATGTTGAATACATAGCATACATTTTTAATAATTCACTAATTAATGGTCGGTTATGAAGTCAGAGACGAGTAAAGTTTTGCATCAGAAAGAGTGAGCTTTTTGCTAAAGGTGTTGTCTGACCTGTAATCAGGGATCTTCTCTGCCAGGCCGAAGTCTCCCACCACCGCCGTGAACACACCGCCGTCACAGCGCACCAAACAGTTCTGCACACAAACAAAACAGGCACAAAACAGTCACTAAACTCTTGTCTCGCGGCTCTCGCCATGCCGATAGCTGTATTTGTCCAGATAAAGAGATAAATAATGTGTTCTGAACTGTGAACGGGTCGTACACTCACTAGAACCTGGACATCCCCCCCCCCACCGCATTAATTTGACTGGCCAATACTTCAGATATTTCTCAGAGCCCCCTCACCGCTCTAGATCAGCGAGCTACTGTAAGATTTAACTCATGGTGCGTTTAACGTTGTGCTTAAACATCTCCTAGCAACAGTTAGTGACCATTGCATGTATAAAAAATATGTGTAATGTGTATTTGTAAAGCGCTTTGAGCATCTGGAAAAAGCGCTATAATAAATGTAAGGAATTATTATTATTAGTGGCTTCAGTACAGCCTCATGGCAGCCCCCCCCCCCAGCCCTACCGCTCCACACTCTGCCTCTCCTCCTGGTTACCTTGGAGGTGAGGTCTCTGTGGAAGATGCCCTTGCTGTGCAGGTAGTGCAGCCCCCGGGCGATGTCCAGGGACAGCCCCATCCTGACGGCCCAGGACAGGTGCAGGTCGCTGTCCAGCAGCTGCTCCAGGCTGCCTCCATTGATGTACTGCAGGGACACATCAGACACAGGTCAGACACCTGCTGGGTGACTGCTGACATCTCTTAGGAACTCACTGATTTGAAACAATTCTCTTGACCTTTATGTTCATGAACCACGGTTATTCTTTGGGTGAGAAATATTATTCTGTGACATAAAACATTCTATTGTAACAAGAAGTATTCTTCAGTAGTTATACTGTAACATGGTACATTCGGCCGTTGTGTGATACATTCTACAATAATATTATATATATATATATATCTATATACTGCTACATGAGAAGAGCTAATACAGTATAGAATCGATGGTTTATTATACTGCTACACAGGTAGCTTTCATAGGCTAATTGTTGATACAGTAAACAGAGGGAGAGGATGGGTACTATGTAGTAACCACGGTAACATCTGCACACCATGTACACATCAGCAGTTTGGTACAGCATCATGCATCAGCCATTCTAGCAGCTGCATGTGTGTTTGTGTGTGAGTGAATCTAAGAATGAAAGAAAGAGACTCAAAAGGATACAGTAACCATTTTTAAAAGCTCAAGAAATGTGACATTATTAAAGTAGAGTGTGATGTTTTTACCTCCGTCAGAGCATGGAGCTGACCTTCATGCACACACACCCCGAGAAACCTGAGCACAGAGGCAGGCAGAGGATTAAAAAGACTGTAGACCACACTCTAGTATCAGGGTTAAACAGAGCTGGAAAGTAAAAATGAGTGCTTGGACGTAGCCTCCTGGAGCCTCTGGGTGTGATCATTTAGCACTGCATCATCTCCTTCAGCACTGTTACGCCCAGCCTAGGGGAACCTAGGCGCAGCACAAAGTTTGCTCTCTCCCCACTTTTCCCACTCTCAAGACAAAGGCAGAGACAGAGAATGTCGTTTGGTACATTTCATTTACCAAATCTGAATTACACAAAAATATACTTTCACAACCAAAAAGAAAACATGCAGAAAGTCTGATACACAAATAAAGAAACCAGGAGTAACAAAACCACAAAACGAACTAACCTTAAACACAAAATCTTACCTAACAGAGAAAAATAAATATACAGGCTTCTTACCTACTCTAACTTAAACAGGAGAAAATGAACAATCCAAAAGGGAAAAAGAAAAAGGGTTTGCACTCCTGAGAAAATAAATCCGTCTACAAAGACAGGTAACGTAAAAATAGCTCACAGCCAGCGGAGAAGGACAAAATGTTCTCAAAGTGCGAACATAGCACCACAGGACAAAATATCTAAACATGCGCCGCGTTGGGAGTAGGAGAAGTTGAGTCAGAGAGACCGAGAAACTGCACGGCTGCAGCTTAAATGCTCCCGTCTCCTCAGGTGGACCAATCAGCCTGTCGAGGGCAGCCAATCAGCAACCGGACACCACCTGTTCAATCACACGCAGCCACACAAACACAGAAGGAGGAAGAAAATCTGCACACAATACACATAACGACCCAGGGTCGTAACAAGCACCAATGATGTGTATACATCCATCACTCATCGTTGGGCTACCCACACACAGCTACTTCTGATGGCTGTCATGGGCTGAGGAGCTCTACTATAGATGTTCCTAGTCCAAATATACTGCTGGTTGCCCTGGTAACCTGCATTGTCTTTCCGCTCTGGTTTGGGACAGAGTGGTGCTGTGATGACAGTGTAGGTCGGCCCACTTATTATAACAGTTATTATTATATTCTTCTTGTTCATTGTTTAAAGTCAAACTGTGATTACAAGCAACACTGAATTCCAAAGACAATTCACAAAGTGTGACTAACTGCACCTAAACAGGAAAAATACATGGAGGTAGATTTGTCTCAATATGAATTGTGTGAACAGATCAATAATATCATCAGACAACATCAACTTCCACTGCTATGCTGACGACACCCAGGTCTATATCAAAACACAACCCAATAGCACCAATACTATCCAAACACTAAACACCTGCCTGGAAGACATCCGCTCCTGGATGACCACCAACTACCTCCAGCTCAACAGCAGCAAGACGGAGGCAATCCTGATAGGCACCACCGACCAGCTTGCCAAGGCCGCCAACATCAGCCCCTCCCTTGATGGTCAGCTCATTCCTCTCTCCTCTGTTGTCACCAACCTCGGTGTAAGGTTTGACCCCACTCTGTCTTTCCAAGCCCACATCAAACACATCACCAAGACCTCCTTCTTTCACCTGAAAAACATTTCCTAACTGAAGCCCTCACTCTCAACTGATGACACCAAAAAACTGGTTCATGCACTCGTCTTCTTAAGACTAGATTACTGCAATGCACTCCTCTCCGGTCTCCCAGCCAAATCCATCAACCGCCTGCAACTTGTCCAGAACAGCACAGCCAGAGTTCTCACCGGTGCAAAAAAATCTACACACATAACCCCCATACTTGCACAACTACACTGGCTCCCAGTCCACTACAGGATCCAGTTTAAGGTTCTGCTCCTCACGTACAAAGCCCTGAATGGACAAAGCCCAAAATACCTCTGTGACCTCATCCATACCCAGACATCTACCCGCTCTCTACGCTCCAGCCACGCTCCTGTTCTTTACATCCCCCGCACACGTCTCCGGACAATGGGAGACCGAGCCTTCTGCTCATTCGCGCCTCGCCTCTGGAACTCCCCCCAGATCAGCTGAGATCTGCCCCTTCCACGAGGTCTTCAAAACCGGCCTTAAGACCCTCTTCTTTCGGCAGGCCTTCCAATTGAGCATGGTACACCTGGAGTACTGCCATTTTTATCGCTATCTCCGACTTTTATTATTATTATTTTTATAATCTCTCTAATTGTATCAGTGTCCTTTGTTGTGAAGCGCTTCGAGATTTGTCTTGGCAGATGAGAAGCGCTATATAAATTAAATGTATTATTTATTTATTATTAATAATCCGTGTGAATGTGCGTCATAGAGTGCACCTGGACTCATTCACCCTTCATGGTAACACTGTGTGATGAAGAGACTGAACCTGGTCACTGTTTTGAGTAAAAAGACAAGCTACACACATTAATGAGTAGAAACATGGCAGCTATAATGGAAAATGACTTTACTCACTGATTTACTTAAATTACAGCATAAACACTTTGTGACCTACCTGAGTATGTTTGGGTGGCAGAGCCTGTTCATGAGCTGCACTTCTCGTAGCATGTTAGCTTTGTTGCTAGCCAGCGTGTTCATCTTCAGCGCCATCACCTGGCCTGTGATCCGGTGCTGCACCTGGAAAACAGCCATATTTCATTTAGCTGACACTGTTATCCCTAACGACATACAATAAGTGCAGTAAAACATGCAGGTGCAAACTCAGAACAGCCAAGTCCATTTGCTTCAAATCAACCAAACCACTGTAAGTAAGGATGCATTCGTTTTTCAAATAAGCTAGACTTATTAGAACTACAGTTTTTGTTGTGTATATGAGGATTAATGTCCACGGTGTATATACACAATAAGCTATTTAAGTAGGTTAGCAGTTCTCTCCTATTTGCCGATAAATTTTTCTTTATAATTTATAAGCTGATGTTTCGTGTAACAATTCGGCCTAAACTGTTACCGATGCTGACTTTTTTTATTTTTCCTTATTGTGGTAATTTATTCTAATGTGCAAGGGAAACGCATCACATTTTTATTTAAAATATTTAATAATTCTGGATAAGCACAAATTCAAAGTCTTTGTAGCCTGCTGTTTAATTACCAACTCATTAAGAACATTTTAAGTTCGGTCAGTGGTTGCGTTTTTTATGAGAATAAAAGACATAAATAATAGCATACAATGTCCAAGCATTACAATTTTTGATAATGAACACACTGACCAAGTTAGTTTTAGTTTATGCATTTAAAAAGGCATGAAGAACATAACAAAATAAAGGTGAACAGAGTCTTGGCATTTCCTGTCAACACAAACGGAGCCGAGGATGTATTATATATATATATGTTTTTATTTGAAGTGCCCGGCCAGCGCACATTAAGAACACTGCAGAATTGTGCCTGAACAGTCAAATATAACGGCTTAGAGTGTGGCGCTGCGTTGACGCGGCAGACTGAATCAGCAGCAACACTTCAGAAAAAGTCCCGAAACTGTGAAACATTTCTCCAAGAGAAGTGATCAGAAGTTGAAAACACTCTCTGGGCTGATGCTAATGTCTAGAAGATGCATCGGCCCATCCCCACCTATTACATCTACTTTTCCCTCCCCACACAAGCATCGGTGTGAAAAACACGATGGAGTCCAGAAGACTGTTTCCCTCTCACAGCGTGCTGGAGCTCTGACTCGTGAAGCTGACTGCACAATGAGTGGAGTAATGGCCGCTGTAAACACCTCAACAATAAGTGTTGTGTGCTAAAGTTGATGAAGATATCAAATAAAAAATGTATTATTATTATTATTAGAAGCATCACAAAAACACTAACACATTATTGGTTCCCAGTAGAATCTGCCTAACGCTGTGCTCTCTCTATGTGTGTCACTGGAAGGCTCAGTGACTGGTAATGTGCCTCGAAGTCCAGCCAGAGTCTAGACCTGCAAGCCCATGCATCTCTGTGTGTGTGTGTGTGTGTGTGTGTGTGTGTGTGTGTGTGTGTGTGTGTGTGTGTGTGTGTGTGTGTGTGTGTGTGTGTGTGTGTGTGTGTGTGTGTGTGTGTGTGTGTGTGTGTATTAATAGCGTAGCACTAATAGGCTTTCTGGATGTCCCATCACTCCTCCTGATCTGCTGCACAAATCCACTGGGCTGTCCTGGGGCGAGGCCCAGCAGCTGGCTCAATAAACTGTTAGCATTTTAAACTGAAGTGTACAACATGAGCATTGATCCGTGCTGCATCAGTCAGTGCTGGTTCTGGTCATAAGTTTAAAAAAGCAATAAGTGCAATGTGAAGTGACCTTCCTCTCTCTTACACAGACACAAACCCCCAAATTGAGGTTTTTCAGCGTTTGTATAAATTGGTTCCAGCTGTACAATAAATGATTGGCTTTATTAAAGATCTAGACAGAAAAATGTGTAGGATGCCAGAAGATTCATTGATATTTCTTGGTAGTAATTTAAACGTGAGGGTGTTATCTGTACGTCAATAAAGGTATCAACTCATGTCTTTTTATCGGTGGGATTATTACTTTTTTCTGCAATATACTGGTGAAGTAATAACGTATTTTTGTTGGGCATTCGGAAGTTAGCATCACAAGGGCTGCTTTGAAAGTTTAAAATATTGCTGAAAATATTATCTGTGGTCAGCACATCCTCATTTTATATCTTATATAAAATGAATTCCGACTTATGATTATGTTTGAACGCAAACAACAGAAGTATAAAGCTAACGATAGGCAATAAACAAACTACATCACAGTCACATGACTTTACGTCACCATCGCTAAGCTAAAGGCGGCTAATGTTCTGCATGTTGTGGTTATTTGTTTCATTCAGTCACTCGTGAGCAGCCGACACTTCAGACATTCAGCAGTGCGTTATTTACTTATGTTTTTTATGTCATAAAACAAAATGTGAAAATCTCTTCAGCTTGTGTTACCACAGACCTTATTTCAGGCATTTAACCAAATCACATGGAAAAACCATTGACTTAGAGAAGAGGGACCTAGAAGTAATAAATGCTAACTCATTTCTGGGTTTGAAGATTCATTCATTCACCACTCAATTCTGTAAATATGTCCATATGTTTGGATAACCAGAAAACAACCTTGTGTCCCGTCCCACAGTCCTACAGTCACCTGGCCTGAATCCTGACCTGAGTCTGCTCCTACCCTATGATTTAGACCACATTTCAATTAAATGCTACTACTCTACTACCTTCAGAGGCAAATGTTGTACTTTTGACTCCACTACATGTATTTTAACACTCACAGTTACTGGTTACTCAGTACATGAAAACACACACGCTGATATGGTATACTGTAGTGCTGATCTACAAAGTATTTTACGTATCTAAGTTGATCCAAATTCACCAACTGCAATACTAAAATGCTCTTATATGTATAAAAACAGGATAGCACAATAACCATAATAATATAATATTGTGAAAAAATACATTCTGCATGAGTACTTTCACTTTTGAAACTGAAGTACATTTATCTGATAATACTTCTACACTTATTTTATTCTGAAAAGGGTCATTGTACTGAATCAGTACTTTGACTTGTTGAACTTTAAGTATATTGTGATGCTAATACTTTGGTACCTTCACTTAAGTGTTGAAATCAGGACTTTTAATCATAACATTACAGAGGTCAGGTAGTCAAGATGATAAAAAGATGTAACATTTTAAATAAAGGCTTTCTCTGTGCAGCTCTTCTGTATCAAACTCATCGCTGAGACAGATGGCTGGAGGTGGAACATGATGCACAGTGATGATCACATGAAGCAGATACTGTACATCTCTCAGGCTTCATGTTTGACTTAGTGGGATTTCAAAGAGCAAAACAGATATTAAAAAGGAAATTATGACCTATTTAACTTTCTAACAAAAACAGTAGGAAACCCAAAATAAAGGAGTGTAAATTGATGTAAATGGGATTTATTTATTTGTAGGAAATTAGGTATAGAGAATCTAATTAAACCCTTAAACAGCAATGTCCTCTATACAGTAGCTGCTTTCTCTGTTCCTAGGTGGGAGTGTGTAAAGATTTATTTTTAGATAAGAGCAGAGGAACAGCTGGAAAACATTTAGTAGAATCCCTCACCTGAGCAACATTCCAAATACTACTGTACAGGTCAGTACAGTACAGTACTCGCAGCACCATCAATCAATTATATATTTTTTATAATAATAATAGGCCTTTTAAATAATTATTGGATTATTTTTTTATTTATAAATGTTTTGCTTAGCAGTTTTAAATTCATGTTGTTTTATTTTCTCTTTCAAGTCTAACATAAAATCCATGAAATGTTCCAGGCTGTCCAGATGCAGATATTTGCTGTCACTGACTGATTTTCTTTTAATCAATGTACTCAAATCTGAAGGTTTAAACACTACTGAGGGCGATCTCTCATCATTCACATTTAGTGAATGTTCCGAGCCTACAAACGGTGTTCTAAAGACCCTCACACACCATCATTGCTTAAAAATGTAAGAATAATCGTTCCTTTTATATTGTGAATTATAGCACAAAAAAAGAAAATGAAAGTTTTCTCTCCATGCCCTTATGAATGAATGCATACCATTTACTGTATATTATTTATGTAAAAAATGTAACTAAAGTGCTATAAAATGTGCATTATCAAACAGGTTTTAAAAGATTATTTCTAAATTGTAGGACCTAGACTGTCAAAATGACAAAGATGGACACCTTTTGGACTGTGTTGGTCAGAGGTGGGGAGGGGCACCTCCACTCTTCTGCTGTCACAGAGGAACAATCATAGCTGTGCTCCCTTTTTACAAAAAAACTGCCCTGGGCATTTTAAGGCCAATATCATGGCTTTTAGTTGTTCAGACAAACTATTTAAAGAGCTCTCACGATTTCCCCCCTGACAGCTGGGTGTTACAACACATACCTTAAAGACCTCAGAGAAGAAGCCTGATCCGATCTTCTCACAGAAGAAGTCGTCGATGCGGGCCAGACTGGACACGGCGCTCCGCAGGGCTCGGTACGATGACGGCCTGATGCGGTTTTGAGCGTGGATACTGTGGAGGGGGGGCTCATCCGGGCTGCCATAGCCCTCCTCGGGGTCACAGAAGCAGCACTCAGCATGGTAGTCCATGATGCTGGAGGACCACCACCCTCTCTACAAGTGCTCTGTTCCCACAGATGAACCAACGTTTTTTTTAGATAGCAGTAGTCCTGAGACACGAGGGGAAGGGGGGTCCCACCATCATGATGTCACAATGATCAAGGCTGCGATGTGATAACTGATAAGATATATTTCACACAATACTGCGCCTTATTACACAAATATAGAACACATATTATCTATATTTGTTCTTTTGAGATCCACAGAGTCCATTCTCATTCAACTCATGTCAGGTAAAGAGTTCAGTCATCAGGATTCAAAGCCCCCCCTCCAGGGCTTCTGTGTGGCTCACTGTGCCCGCCCAGGAGTGACAGAGAAAGTCTCACCGATGAAGTCACTTCATTACTCCTCGTCACCGAGGTTTTAGAAACTCCTGCAGCCCTTGAACGTGGCCTCAGTGTGCGTGGGGGGGCTGGGTCCCTCCAGCATCCCGTTACATGGAGGAGAGATGACGGAAGCGGCACGGTACCAGGAGAGGGAGGGCTGGTAGGGCCAAGCTACAATAATGCACAGGTCCCTGTGGAAGAATTGGGAGAATATAAGATGACACAATAAACTGTAGCCAACCTATATATATATATATATATATATATATATATATACACATACATATACATATACATACTGCTGTTTGCGCACAGTTTCCCTCTCCAAAAATATATTGATTGAATACAAAATAAAAATATCAGGTCGGGAGAAGACAGTGAAGTTCCGATGCTCTCTCTACCCTCCCTCCACGTCTCCTGCACAGCGGGGCAGTCAGCGGCAGTCACTTCAGACAGACGGTTAGCAGCACCTCCCACCTTATTGTCCCACGTTTTGCCGGCTTTTCTTGGCTTGTCTGAAGGTGAGTGGTGATGAACAAATGACTAAGCTGCCAGTGCCTCGAGTTTACAGCTAATTAGCCAAAAGACAAAAACAAATATAGTTAACTAGGGTACTAGCTAATGGATAAGTTAGCTCAAGGTTTAGCTAAGGCAATTTATCATGGGCATCAGGGCCGTCCCTCCCTACAGGCCGATCATGCAGACTGCGTGGGGCCTCACCTTGCGGAAGGGGCCTCATCTTGCGGAGGGTGCCTCATCTTGCGGAGGGTGCCTCATCTTGCGGAGGGTGCCTCAACTGAGCCGTAAAATGCGGCGCACCTATGCGCTGCAATTAGTGTGGCGCAGCACGGTTTCGCCGCTGCGAGGCTCCACTAGCACACCCCGACGCTCGCGAAACAGAGGGCCTCATCATATAACTTTGCGTGGGGCCTCATGTTGACCAGGAACGGCCCTGATGGGCATACAGGCTAATGTACTGAACTTAAGGGGAGACACTACAGGTGAATACAGTAAAATGTGTATCTAATAACGTCATCACAATCGCCACATTGATATGCAAATTAGGCATTAACTATAGGCCCAATTAAAATGCGCACATTTGCATGCAGTTACCAAGGCATTGCAGGTGAAAAGGATACAAAAAACAAATCACCTCACAACTTCCCCAGATAGTTACGCCAAGTCAGTATTTTCCCCGGAAATGTTATGTTTAAATGCAGATTAGCTTTATATCTATAGATGAATTCAGACAGGGTAGTAAAACGAACACCATTTATATGTGTTTTTTGGACGTTTTCTTTCCATTAGAGTGAAAGAAAACATGAAAACAAAATAGTCCAAAATAACTAAATGTACAAGTACATGAAAAAACTATATTTTTGCCTGTAAGGTACTGCCTTAAACAGTAACTTCATAATTTAGATTGTTGGCTGCTCATTTAATAACTATTAATTGTACTAGTTTGTTGTCTGCTCTTGTGCGTAGTGAATACTAAAGAAGACCATTGTCTCTGTGTTAGCTGATTATTTTGTAGAATTATGTTGAGTATTAAACAATTACCTGAGTGTGAGGGTATTCAAATAAATTGGTCAGTAAGTCAGAGATGTGCAACTATATTTAACTTTTTGTTTGAAAACATTTTTTTATAAATGATTATGGGAAGTGCCCTTTTTCTCACTTGAGCTCTTGCCCCCCAAAATGTCTGTGCACGTCCCTGTCACAGAGACACTCGGGGCTGGTCCCATGGCTGGTCCTCTCAGAGCGGCAGCCATCAGGCTAGCAGAGTCCCACTAACGCTAACAGGGCGATGAGCATAAACCTCCACTGGATAACAACAACAACAACAACAACAACAACACAACTGTTAGACTTTAGAATTACATACCTGATTTAAATCTGTTTTTATCTATTTTTCTTTTCTTCACAACTGCCTAAATTCTATTTTTTGGGAGGTTTAATAAACCATAGTGCTCCTGCCTGGCCAATGAGGAATCCTAGCTAACCGTTATTGTTGATAACGAGAGCTGTCAATGACAGCCGGGCTGCAGAACCCGATCCACGGTTTACCTCTCTGCACACGTCCCGCTGGAAGACAATGTCGATGTCGTCCGACCGTTTGTTGAAGGCGAATTAAGGGCAGAAATGCCAGTCGGCAGCTCGGCGGTGTCTGCTGCTATAATCCGGTCTGGAGTCCTGCTTCACAGCCACTTGAGGGGGACGACAACCATCATGAAACAGCGCCGACATGGTCAAGCTAGCGAGATTAGGGGGACTTCCTGCGACTTCACAATAAAAGCTATTATGAACATCATGCAGTAGGCCTACACGTTATCATCTACCAAGCACAAACTTGACTTCCGATCAAATATTATACACATTACAAAAACATATAGGAGCATTACATTGTGTTGTTATATAAACAACGCCGACAACATTACAACATTACTCTGTTGAGTTTGAAGAAGTTGGAGTTTTTAAATAACTGGAGCGATCTCCAGTAAGTTTCAAATGATTGATCCATCTAACAGAGGGATGCTCAAATAAATACACCAGGAATGATAAACTGTAACTCTGCCCCATCAAGATTGTTTTTGGCTAATGAGCATTTTCTTTGGCTAAAGTTCAGGAGATCATGCATTTTCAATAACACTTAGAATGATTTGTTTTATTAACATTGAGTATCCATGTACTTTCGGTGAACCAGGAGAAACATTTTGTGTGGATTAGATGGTAAAACAAATGATTTCCGTAAACAATGTTGAACATCCACTCATAATATTTTATTCTTCTACTTTAATTTCAGAATTACAAAACAATTATATATGATTTGAAGGTAAAGACAAGGAAACATATGCAATTGTTTTTGCACCAATTGTATTATTTGGATAGTTCCACATTAACAAGGAAATATATATGTTTTACTCCTTTTTTCCTTTTTTAAATAAAGAACTCCATCAATAAGGCTCCACATTAAGAAGTCATAGCAATAAGAAGTTGTTTGGTAAAGGCTTCTACTCTTTGAAAGCATTCATCACCATAGCAACATAACTCCGTGTGTGTTTTCCTTCAGTCGGACTGTTAGTTGTACCTCTTGAAACCAGAAGGTGTCGTCCTTTCCCATCGACTGCCTGCTTGAAAATGGATTTCTTGAAGACGTGTTGCAGTGTGTTCACGAACAAGAACCTGTTAACAGTTTCAAGCCTTATTGCTGTGTTCCTGGGTGAGTGGAGAAACATAACTCGCTCCAACTGATTCAACTGTTTAGTTCGCCTAAAGCCAGCTAACATAGCTAGCTAGCTAGCTAGCTAGTTTTATTTTGCTGGCTAAACAGCTTTAACTACATTTATTTCTGTATACTAAAAGTATACAGAAATACATCTTGACATTGTTGCTGAGCAGTATATTACTTAACGCTAAATCTTGACAATATATTTGTATATCTAGTCAGAATATGTCTTTACACTTGATATAAGACTAACAACCCTCCTGTTACATTCAGGCTCAATTGACCTGTCTTATATTTGAAGTATTTTTTTTGTATGAAACTTCTTCTACTTGTCTTAATTAGTGCTATAAACAAGGAAAAATGAAAATGGTTCATGGCATGTATGTATGCTTATATTACAGAGATTGTATTCAGGTCAATTTGACCATGCAGTGTAAGTGAAGGCTAAAAGGGGTCAGAAGTGCAAATGGAATATAGGCTACTGTATATATATTGTAATACACACAAACACACATACACAGAGAGAGACACACACACACACACACACACACACACACACCACACACACACACCACACACACCACACACACACACACACACACACACAGACACAGAGAGACACACACACACAGACACAGACACACACACACACACACACACTCACACACACACACACACACACACACACACACACACACACACACACACACACACACACACACACTTGCTGTTACAATAAAACACTTTCAATACAAATCCTTATGACTCATTTGGCTTGAATCTCAGTGAACGGGTCAATTTGACCCTGAACAGAAGAGGTGTCTCGTCTCTATTTATCAACATCAACCGATTGGACATTTAAAAGTAATGTAAAAATGTATGTTATGCAAAACTAATGTATTTTATATCAAGGTTTTTCCAATGTAAAAAAAAAATAGAAAAATGTGTTTGAATGTAAATGTTTTGTGAAAAACAAGTGACTTATTCTAATGGAGCCATGATCTGTGAGAGGTGAATAACACAATTGTACTAAATATTGATTTCATTGTAGAAATAAAAGGTACAAAGGAATATTATTGCTGTTACAAAAGGAATATAACAGGAGGGTTAAGAAGTAAGAATGCAGTAAGATTTAGGGTCTTGTTTTTAGACAATGTATCTTCAGTATCTTGTTAAGTCAAAGACTCTTGAAAACATCTCATTTTCAGTTGTAGGCCCTACCTCAGATGAAACGGGTTTTACATTTTATTGGAAATTCGCCAACTGACATCAGAAAACCAGAAACTTTGGAGAATTTTTCATTCCTGATTTTGGTCAAATATAGCTCAACATAGCTTTCCCCAGCTAATTACAAGATCTGTTTGAACTAAATATACCATTTTATTTCAATACATCTTAGCAAGCAAATGTCCAGCTGTTCTATTGGCAGATGTCTTTACACACCTTGTTTCCATTCTTTTTCTACCAGTTTTTTCACAGCATTTTTTCCAGTGACAGCATTTCATTTGACATTTTATCTTTAGCTGAACTATTAGTTACAAAAATACAACAAACAACAAAATATTCATGTTAAAGTCACTTTGTACTTCAAAAAGGCATTGTGAAGATACTTTGACGAGAACCGCCTCCTCCATAGGGACGGTCTGTTTTTCAATGTTCCTTTGGAATGAGCACAATGATGTAATTGACCAATCAGTGCCTCTTACTCATTCTCTCATTTGAAAATGGCTGTCTGTGGACACTGTACAAGTAAACATGATTAAACAGCACTACCTTGGAGAGTTTCCATCATTGTATTTATTAACACAATATAATTACATTTCATTTTGAGTCAACCATCTGATCATCGTGTTATTATGTTCATTAACATTTTCCTTTTTTATGTTTGTGCTGCTACATTGTGACATGGTGTTCTCATTCGTATATCTTATGATCTGACAGATAATACATTTCATTGGGAGGTTAGGGTGTAAGTATACATCGTACATAACATAACATATACAGTATCTGTGACCATGACAACAAAGAATGACTTAATGATTCATTCTGTGTTGTGTTTGACAGAATGTGTGCAAATACAAGGGAATTCAACCATACGCAGAACTCTGAGAGCTCTTAAAAGCCTCTCTCTGTGTTGGAGTGCTAATATCTCAATATACTGTCTCACAGGCATCGTTTTGGGCGTGGTTCTGAAGACATATGTCCCCATGTCAAACCTCACCATAAACTACCTTGGATTCCCTGGACAAGTATTCATGCGGGTTCTTCAGATGGTCACCATTCCTCTAATGGTGACAAGTGTCATAACAGGTGCGTCATTCTGGATCTGTCATGTAATAATAACAATATACATAGCCAGACTAACTATTTGACTGTTGCTCTACTTTTCACGACACTTCAGCAGTGCATACATCAACTAATAAAACAACTATTATATATTGGTATAGGTTAAGATGGTCAAATATAAAGTCATTAAAAGTAACTCTACTTTTACCATGTGATGAACACATTAATGCAGCAATAATTATATTCCACTCATTTATTATATAGGATAGACATAAGTATTTTTACTTTTGGTATTTTAGTATATTTGAATGCCAATACTTTTATACTTAAGACTTGAAATGCAGGAGTTTTACTTGTAACAGAGTGCTTTAACACTGTTGTATTTCTACTTTTACTCAAGTCAAATATCTGAGGATGATGAGTGATGAGAACAGTCAGAAATAATTGTACTAATGCTGATGTTTTGATTTGTAAAAGGAGTCTGTAGTATGAGTGCTGGCTCCTCCAGAAAAATCTCTACCCGAGCAGCAGTATACTTCATCTCAACTACGCTGGTGGCCGTGGTGATAGGTAAGGGAAATACAAAACTTAGAATATAAACTCATTTAGTTTTGGCACACTAGTGAAAACTTCACTCAGAGCAGCCAACAATGAAACAACTGAAACATTGACTTAAAGGTCCCGTGTCATGGCCATTTCTACTGATCATAATTCCATAGTTGAGGTCTGCTAGAATACATTTACATTGTTCAATGTTCCAAACTCACATTGGTTTCTCACAGCATCTCTGTAAAGTCTGTGTATTCACTCTCTGTCCTAAACGGCTTGTTGGAGCTCCTTTAATCAAATGTATTATGTCAACAAATTACACAAAATGGTATTAGGTAAGTTAAAAGCAATAACATTAAATAACAATATGTTAGGTTCAATCTAATATCTTTGCAAACTAATCTAATACAATAATAATCTTTTGACATGAATTAAAGTCAACGTTTCAGTTTTCTCAGTGAAGGTAAAAGTAAATCCTACCCTGATAAATGTTATGATGTTCAGTTTGTGTTAAAACTCATTTATATTATGAAATAATATTATTTTAGGTTGCTGGATGGACAAACTGAAAGAAATGAGAGATGCTATGATTGGTCGATTCATATCTTTGTGTTTGGGACTGAAAAACAAGCCATCAAAGGCATCATGTTTGAGAATCTAGGGCAGTCATTTCCAGTGTTGGGACTAACGCGGTACAAGTAACGCGTTACTGTAACACCGTTACTTTTGGCAGTAACTAGTACTCTAACGCATTACTTTTTAAATGCAGTAACTCAGTTACCGTTACTACATGGTGCGTTACTCCGTTACTCCGTTAGTTTTTTTATATAGTCAACAGCCAGGCGAACAGAGATGAGAACTGTACTTAAGTACAGTACTTGAGTAAATTTACTTAGATACTTTCCTGTGTCACATGCGGAGACGGGCTGGTGGGCGTGTTTGTGTTGTTTACTAACAAGACTATCATGGCGGCGGCGGAGCTCAAGTCTAGTTTTCTCCACCTGGAGATATTCTCACTATTTCACTTTTGTCGAGCACAAAGAAAAGAACGTTTTAGTTAAATGTAAGTTGTGTCCTGGCGGGTCAAAGATCATATCTACTGCCCAAAACCAGTCATTCAAATCTCTTAAAAACATCTGCAAAAAACAACATGCTGGGACGAAGCTAGTAGCTAAGACCACAGAG